AAACTTAAACAGAATTCTGCCTATATAAATACTCATTCTACATTAGGTAATACACATAATGCTACATGAAAGGAAAAGTGGGAAAATCAGACATATGTAAGAAGAACAAAAAGAAAAGAGAAAGAACAAAAAAAAAAAAAACAAGGAAAAAAAATAGGAAAAGTACACTACACGCAACGCGTCATGAATAACTCCCGCTTCCGCCTGTCTACACCGGTCTCCACTAAACGCCTTCACATTGGCTCTCTGTGCGTACACCTAAAAACCGCAGTATAACAACAACATCAAATTCTTCTTCCGTCGTGTCCGCGCGTGTGTTGCCATCTGGCGCGGTTGGTCCACCTGATGTCCCGGATCCAGCTGCCTTTGGTGCAGATGGTGATGGTGCTGATGACGGTACTGGTGTCGATGATGGTACTGGAGACACAGGTGCCTGTGGTTGCGAGCCTGGTAGTGTTGGTTGTGAAACCTGTACGCCCTCTCCCGCTGTTGTATCTGACCGTGGACCTCCCCGTGTACTGCCTTGTCCTGTGCTCCCGGGTGATGGTGATGGTGATGGTGCCGCGGGCTTCTGCCCTTTCTGGTCTCCTGCTCCTGCTCCTTCTGCCGGTTTTGTGGTTGCCGGGTGGGCCGCGGCCGGTTTGCTGTTGCCACCGGGTTTGGCGGAGGCGGGATGAACGATCACTGCGTCTAATTCTTCTTTCACGTGCGCGATTGCTTGTTGCATTTCATTCTCTATCGCGGCATCCTTGGTGTCGTGTGCCTGTGCCCCAGAAGGGTACGTGGGTGCTGGGTCAGTGGACCCGCTCAATTGTGTCTCCTCGTTCTTCATGTGTATCTGCAGTGTTTCCAAAATTGTTGTGACCTTGTGCTTTACTTCATGTTTCGTTGGTCTGTCGTTCTTGTCGTCGCGCTCCTCCTGTTTCCGTGGGACCTCTAAGTGTACGGTTCCTCCCGTGCACCCTGCGCTTATTTGTTCCTGCTCAAGTTTCTCCTGCATGCGTGCATTCTGCTGTAGCCATGTCTTCATCTGATTCCTCATGGGCCAAAGCCTCAAGTCGATATCCTTGTACTTCCCCTTCCTACAATGCTGGTCCCCCCCATGGGCCGTGAGCCCTGCCGATATTTGGTCCACGACGTACCATGCATAATATGTACCCCACCGACCCTCGCATCCATAAATCCATAGTATGTCTTTATATACGTCCACTATGGTGCATCTCATTATTCCCTTTATGTCCTCATCTTGCCCGTTGTTGTCTTTTGCGTTGTCCCTTACTGCTTCACTCCACGCATTTGCAAAATATATCGCTTGCGTCATGAGTCTGCATATAACTCTTTCTGTGCGCCTGCTCATTTCCCTTTGTGGTTGGTTCGGCTGTCCGTCATCTATTGGATGCTCCCAGTATGCATTCGCACAGTTCATTGCATTGTCGTACTGACGGTCATCGTGCATATGCTTAATAAAAATCCCCAGTTGTGTTTGTATATCTTCCCATAATTTACCCTGTGGTTACCAGAATGCACATATATCTATTTGGTCGCACAGTATTATTCACCAACCGTTGCAATCATGTAATTATAATTAGCCCGTGCTGCCTGTGACATGTAAATGTGCCGTATGCGGTACATATGAAGCACGCACCTGTCCGCCATGCTGCTACGCTTTAGTATGCTGCTGTTAGGCACACATATGTGCGGCCTTGTGCACACCGCCGCACGCGGCCTGTATTTATAGGAAATTACCTGAAAATCCCAAGTATGCTCCGTTATTGTCCTGCGCTCCGCATACTCTCTCAATATCCCCGCTAAGTCGTCCGGCATTGTTCTCCTAGCATAACAACATAGAAAAGATCATGCCTTGCAGAATGCGCGTACCCGTCTACATATGTTGCACAAATGCATTACGTACAACTTCTACGTATCCAATGTACTGCTGTATATCCAGTACACAATAACATTCTACGGACAGGATTTCAAACATACACGTGAAAAGGGGATATGTATGCCTTAATTCATATAACGTATACCTACATATGTACTCCGTATCCTTATATACAGAACGCGGAGCTGCACAACGAACCATAATAAATACGAGTAAAAAAAACAACATAAATAAGATAGAAATAAATGAAATTTAAAAAAAAAAAAAAAAAAAAAAGTGAACGAAAAACACGATACCTGTACAAATGCATAACAACATCTTCTACACAAAATAGAGAAGACTCTCTCTATCTGTTGCACACATGAACAATCTCGCCAAGTAGAGTAGAAACAGAAAAAAAAAAGCAAGGAAAAAACAGGAAAAATAGTACGCGCAACGCGTCATGAATAACACCCCCCGCCGCCCTTTCTACACCGGTCTCCACTAAACGCCGTCATACACACTGTCTCTCTGTGCGCGCACACTAAACCCCTTGTACACCTAAAAACCGCAGTAATAACAACAACATCAATTTCTTCTGCCGTCGTTGTTGCCGTCGTTACGCCCATGTGTGCTCCCACATAATATGTGTGTTCCTTCGCTCCCCGCCGCGCTCACTCTGCTCCCTCACTCGAATCCTTCCCTCGAACCTCCTTACTCGGCTACAATGCGGTTTACGCGGCCGCGTGTGCTCGGAGAGACAATCTCTCCCGCTTTCTTACACTCGGCCACAATGCGGTTTACGCGGCCGCGTGTGCGCGGAGACAAGCTCTCCTTATACTCGAATGATTATTCGCATTCTATATTTGTTCTACTCTACACCATTAGCATGCACGTGCGCATCTTTTAATAATTAATTTCACATAAAGGAGAATACTACCCCGTCATGTTATTCATTTAAATCTACGTTTTTTATGCATTTAACCTGTACCAGCCTGTCCCCATGGTCATGTTAAAAGAAGTGGACTACACAGAAAAAGAACAAAACAAGGCAAAAGTAAGCACAAGCAGAACAGAGCAGAAAAAAAATGGTAGGCATGCAATAGTGCAAACAAGAAATATATTGCGTATATCACATAATGAAGTAAAAGTGTTGTACGGTTAGCATGCGTTATGTCACATTCATATGCCCCGTCATTCGAATGTCAGAGCGTCTGCAATAGGTCATCCACATATAACTCCTTCTCCTTCAGACGGCTTTCAAGCTCGCACTGTTCTATGACTAATGCCAGGATCAGTATCCATATTTTAGCGTTTAACGGTTTTTTCATGTAAGATTGCGGATGCAGTTGCGAGCGCGGTAAATCTCTCAGGCGTAGCCTCTGTTGTGCTGCCGTGACTTTCTCCACTTCTAAGTCCTTTTCCACTGCAGGTGCGTGGCCGTGTTGTGGTACTGTTTCCTCCTCTACATTATTCAACAAATGTTGGAACCACTCCTCTTCCGTGTATGTACTCATGTGCCGATGTTGCTGTTCGACCCACTGTTTCCAGGCATGTTTCTTCAGCTCTGCGGATGGGATATTGCCACGCTCACCGAGTTCACTATTGCCGGATACGTCGTGGTCTTCGTTTGCCGCAATGTGCTCACGCAGGTATTGTGTCCAATCCGCTTTCAATTGCAGAAACCACGGCTGCGTCGGGCACGCGTGCAATAGGTGCTTGTTGCGGTCAATCCAACGCAGCCACGTGGTAGTGTGGGATGTGGTTATGTCTGTGATGTCGGGCTGAGGATGATCACATGTGGGTGTGTCTGTGACTGCGTTACCGGAGCCTGGTGGTTGTGTGATTTCGGGCTTAGGATC